GCCGGCCGGCCGGTGGCATCCTCGCCGCTCGAGGGGGAGCAGTAGGGTTTGGGACGTGCGTTGGGATTCGGAGGTGGGGACGTGAGGGTGTGGAATCCGAATCCCTGACCAGAGGCATGGTCGACAGGTGCAACGCTCACTATCAGGCGCGCCAGGCGCTCAGCATGTGGGGAGTCGACGCCCTCACCGTACGCATAGTCTGTGGCGGCGAGCGCGGCCGCCGAGGCCGTGCTCGGGTCGCTGTCCCGTAGCTTCCTGGCAGATCTCCGCACGGGGGTGGCAGCCTGGGGGTGTAGGGAGGGTATTGGTGGGGATGGCAGAGGGACGGGTTCGCAGCCATGCTGGATGCCAGCTGGGGGTGGAATCCGCGCACAAGTTCATGGGCCAGCTGGGGCCCCGAAAATGTGCAGGCCCCGGCTCAGAGGGTCAAGTATCGACACGGCCAGGGCGGGTCCCAGCACTGGTCCCTCACCCCAGAATCAACAGTCCTCGTCAGCACGCACCATCCTCTGGCCGGTGGCGCCCTGCACCGCGGCGCTGGCCCTGACCGGGGTCAGCAGGGGCAGCGTCCCCAGCAGCGGCCGGGTGGCGGCCGCTGCCCCGCCCTCCAGCCTCAGGTCCGCCAGCAGCGCCGACAGCTCCCGGCGGCCGGCCTGCAGGCCCCGCGGACCCCCCTCCGGTGCACGCGCGTCCTCGGCGGCGGCGGCGGCCACGCGGCGCGCAGGGCCCCCGAGCCCGGGGGTGCCTCGGCCGGGGCGCAGGGTTTCCAGTGTGGGGAGGGGCGGCGCCGAGGACGCCTGGTGGTGGTGGGACGTGGCGTCTGGGTCTGCGCTGACCGCCGCAGATCCCTGGCTCCTCGCTGTACCGGAACCTGGGGGCGCTGTCTGTGGGGCCTCTGCTGCGCCTGTCGGGGAGGGCGTCCAGCCCCCCCCCGCGCCAAACAGGTCGGCCGCGACGCCGGCGCCGTCGGGGCTGGCGGAGGCCGCGCCGCCGCGCCGCGGCGGCGCGCCCCGGAAGATCGTGACGGTGGCGGGCGTGGAGGTGGGCACGCCCTGCCCGTCTCGCTCCACGCCGTCCGACACCCTTTCCTCCTCCTCCGGCCCGCCGCCGCAGAAGCGCCACGCGTCCGGCGACAGGGCCTCCAGCGGCCAGGAGCGCAGGCTGGGTGTGGGCGAGGCTGCGGGGCCCCGCCCCTCCCACGGCCGGCGGGGGGGGGAGGCGAGGTCGGAGGCGGGGGCGAGGCGGTGGGAGGGGGCGATACGGTCGGAGGAGGCGGGGCCGTCCGAGGGGCCGGCGCGTTCGGTTGCAACCAGTCCGGCCGAGTGCGCGTCGCTTGGCCCTGCCACGCCCTCGCCACGGCACCTGCCTGCGCGCCCCGCCTCGCCCGTGAGCAGTACGGCGGGAGTGCCTGCGTCCCGCCCCGGCTCGGGCGCGGGCGGGGGCGAGGGCGTCAGGCCGAACGCGCCGTTGGCCCGCCAGCCGGCGGCCGAGGGCGCCGGCCCCGCCGCGTCCCCGGCGCGGCCGCCGCGGTACCGCCCCGTCAGCACCTGGATGCTGTCGGAGGTGGAGCCGGTGGAGAGCCGCTCCCAGGAGGGGCTGTCCAGGGGATCCGCGCCCTCTGCGCAGGGTCGGTGGGGTGAGGTCGGGTGTCGCGCCGTGGGGTGCATGGAGCGAGGGGGGAAGGTTGAGGTCGAGGGAGCGGTACTCCTGCTCAGGACGAGGCCCCTCTTCCCGCTCGAGCCGCGGCCTCAGACATGCACTAGATCGCTGAACCTCACCACCGGACCCCCCCCCACACCGTGCGCTTGCCTGGCCAGTCGTCGGTGCCCAGGCTGCCCTCCTCATCCTCGGGGACAGGCCCATACTTGCTGACCAGGCGGTGGAAGGGCGTGCTCCCCGCCTCACTGGGGCCCGTGGAGGAGCGCCGGCTGAAGCGGCTGGGCGCCAGGGAGGAGGGGGTGCCGCCGCCGGTCCCCGTCTCGGAGGCCGGGCTGAAGAAGCGCACCCTCCTCCCGCTGGCCGCCGCAGGGTGGGTGGGGGAGGGTGCGCCGCCGAGGTCCTGGCTTCCTGCCGGGGGAGGGGTGGCGCCGAAGCACAGCTGCTTGGCGGCTGGGTCACGTACGACCTCGCCGCCAGCACCGCTCCCGGCGCCGTCCCCCGAGGCGCCGGCCACGCACAGCCGCGACCCGGCGCCGGGCTTGCGCACCGAGGCCGAGGCAAAGGCCAGGCGCTTGAGCACGTCCTCGAAGCCGGTGGTGGGGCGGGGCTGGGCGGGGGGGTTGTGCGGGCTGAGGGGCCTGGACCCTGCCAGTCTCACCGCCCGGCCCTTCAGCCCGGAGCGGAGGGGGGTGGCGCCGCGGCGCGCGGCGGCGGGGGAGCCTGGAGGTTGTGAGGTGAGGGTGAACGTGGGAACCAGGGTTGTTGTCGTGCTTACACCACATGGGCACCCGGCACCTCCTGACACCAGGGCTTGGACAAAGCCCTGTGCCGCGCCACCCCCACCTGGGTGTGGAACGGCGCCCTTGAGCTGCCCCAGGGCGGCATCGATGGCCGAGGCAGGCCTGGCATCGCGGGCCCTCCCTTCCTGCAGCGCCTCCATGGCGGCCTGGGTGTCCGGAGAGGAGTCGAGGAAGGAGGGTGAGGCATCGTTGCAGAAGATACTTGCATGAGGATGCATCACACGGCTTCGCTCATGCCAGCCCTAGCACACCCGCCCCAATGGCTCCTGTCTGTGGCCCGCCCACCTGTGTGTGTCCTGCCTCGACGTGCTTAGCCGCCCGCTCCGTCCAGTAAGCGGCCTGGGTGGCGTTGGGCAGCACCGCCAGGCCCTGTGCTTTGAGCGCATGGGGGTCGTGGTGCCTGGAGATCAGGGCGGCCGAGGGGGCATGGCTCCCTGCCTGGGCCCCTGCATGTCACAAGAGGGTGCAGACTGCTTTTCTTAGCCAGGGCAAAGGGGGTGCGGGGTGTGCAGGCGGTGAAGCGATGCACGCGCTCGATGACCTCGGACTCCCCAGCCCCACTGGAGGGTCGTCCTGCTTGAAATCATGCACCCACCCGACGCTGCCGGGACGCGGCCCACACTCTGGTGGAGGTTGGTCGCTGTGATCTGCAAGAGACACATCAGGGTGCCTGGAATGAGCAGGGATGCAGGGAACAAGACAGCACCAGCCATGCATGGGAGTAGGTTGGTTTGCTGAGTGTCGCCTCAATACCCCCCTCCCCTCCCTGCCTCACCCCAGCAGGGACTTCGGGGTCCCAGGAGGTTGTCAAGCCCTGGTTCCAGTCGGGAAGGTCCAGGCCGGATGTCATGGCCTCAGCGAGTCTGCCAATCCCGGATTGAGCCTCCGAGGCACCTGCCTCTGGGTGGGGTGAAGCTCGGATTTCTCGACTATCAGGCCACAACTAGCGAGGCCGGCAGTAACGAGTGGATGAATGGCTTAAAGGTGGGCTTCCGACGGAGGCAGCAAGGCGTGAAGGGGTTCTCGCAAGCGAGGCGACAGGAGCGCAGCTGTTGCTTCGCCAAAACGAAACCCCAAGAGGAAAGCGGGGAAGCGCGATTCATCATGGGGGGCCCCGCAAGACGCACATTCCTGAGCCAGGTGCTGCACTTCCCGCACTCCCACCGGGGGATGGTAATCTGTGCCGCGCCTGACCATCATGACCGAGCCGGCCGATCCCGAGGTTCGTTCTCCTTTGTCGACTGCCTTCCCATCGCCCATCCCCCTATCCCTCGCTCCTGCTCCCCCGCAACCGCCGATTGATATGCTCCGTAGGTTGAAACCATGTACGACGACGCCCCCGAGACCTCTGAACCCGCCAAGGAGCCGGCATCGGGGGCTGCGGAGGAGCCGAGTGCGGCTCCCACTGCTGCGCAACCCGATGAGGGCGATCCCCTCTCCCTGCCACCCCACGGCGCCGATGTCTTTGTTGGGGGCGTGCCCCGCACGGCCACGTCGGATCAGATACGGGACTGGGCCAGCAAGATCGGAGAGGTGGGTGCTAGCGCTGAGGTGGGTATGTTCTTCTCACCGAGCATAAACTCCAACAGATGCAGGCAGGGGCGCGCTTGTGAGAGGGGGCCTGCATGATCTCGTCAGCGAGGGATCTCAGGGAGGAGGTTTGGACTCGGCGCCCCAGCACTCCATGCAGCCTGCTGCTCGCCGTGTTCCCGAGTTGATGGCCATGCGATACCGCACGCCAATGCTCCGATGTGGGGAGACCAGCGATACCGACACGCCAAACCCACGCTCACTCCTCCCCGCTGCCCCTCCCAGCCCCACGCCCTTCGACCCTCCTCTCCCCCACACGGTCTCCAATCCAGGTACACAGCGTCACCTTGGTCCCAGACGTGACGGACCCTACCCAGAACCGAGGGTATGGATTCGTTGTGTTTACAACACGCGACGCAGCCACCGCCGCCCTGGCCCAGCTCCACAGCACGGAGCTGCCGGACCACCCCGGGTTCAAGGTGAACAGGGGTTTTGCGGGGATTATGAGTTTCAGTGGTTGTTGTCTGATGGAAGGGGCGGGGTTGGGAATATAATGAGCTTGCGAGGGTGGCCAGCGTGGCAGCCCTGGACCCAGGTCGGGGGGCGCGACTGCCGCCGCCTGCACCCGAGTTTGATTGCTGGATGGGGCCTCTCCCGAACCGCCCACACCCAGCTCCTCCCCCCCACCTCCCTCCAATACAATACACCCCCCAGGTGCGGGTGCAGCCCAGCCAGAGCAAGCACCGCCTGTTCCTGGGCGGCCTTCCCAACTCCCTGACCCAGGCGGAGCTGCGCGCCGTGCTGGAGCCGGCGCTGCGCGGGCTGGAGGGCGTGGAGCTGATGATGAGCCGCGAGAACCCGGAGTCCAACCGCGGCTTCGCCTTCCTCGACATGTACAACGCGGCGGCGGCCAAGGCCGCGCGTGCCGTGCTCTCCGCCCCCGACTTCCGCGTCGGCGGACGCGGCGTCACCGTGGACTTTGCAGAGCCGTCGGCGCGGGGGCCAGGGGCCGACCGCAGCGCCGCGGCAAAGCCCGCCCCCTCGCGCAACGTCTTCGTCGGCGGGCTGCCCGCCGGCGCGGGGGAGGACGCGCTGCGGGAGGCCTTTGCGCGCTTCGGCGCTGTGGACCGAGTGCATGTACCCCGCCCCCGCGACGGCGAACCCGCCTCCAAGTTCGGCTTCGTGACCTTTGCGGAGCGCGAGGCCGCGACCGCTGCGGTGGAGGCCGGCGACGAGGTGGAGGTGGCGGGCGAGCACGTCACCGTGCGCTACGGCCGCAGCGAGCCTGGCAGCGCCCGGGGCCGGGGGCGGGGCGGCGGCGGCGGGCGCTACGGGGCGGCAGGCTATGCGGACATGGGCATGGGCGCGGGGCAGGGGGGCATGGTACCCCTCGTCCCCGTGCAACTGGCCGACGGACAGGTGCATCGGAAGGGGGGAGGCACGGCTTCGTGGCGCCCGTGTGTTTCAGATGCTGGCGGGTTTTCCCGAGCGAGACGCGCTCCCTGCTATTGCTCAAGCGGAACGGCCTCGGTCTCATCTTCCATGACACCCTCGATGGGTCGATCAGGCCAACCCCCCACCCGGTGAACTACCCCCCCCCTTTGGTGCTCAGATTGGGTACATGATGCAGCCGGGGCCTTCATGGGGCGGCAACATGATGATGATGGGCGGCGGCGGCGGGTACTATACCACGCAGCAGGGGGCCTGGGGCGGCGGGGGGGGTGGTCCGCAGCGAGGCGACGGCGGCGGTGCGAGGGGGGGGAGGGGCCAGTCCCGGTATAGACCCTACTGACATTCGCCAGCGCATGCCCGCTGTCTGCTGGACCGAGGGGCGGGGGCTGCAGGTTGGCGCCTTCCTGGCGGCTCGGCGACTCTC